CGAACCCAGACAAGGATGAAAATACCACGCAGGCCTCGCGCTCAGCTCAGCATACCAGGCAGCTGTAAATGTTTCTATAATGACTCTTAAATTACGAAAATAATACAGACAACGAAGCCCCTGGACATTATCTATCAAAACAAGCGTAAGAGGGCTCCGAAAGGTGGAGAGTCTCGTAGCAGAATACCCAAGATGACACGGTGGTGACTTGCTTGAGCTTTTCTCTTGGCCTCATAGATCCTAGACTTGGAGCTAAAGAAGCCGGCAACCCAAAATGCCAATAGGCACAGGCAGACCCAAAAAGCCCAAACAGAAGCCTGCCCTTCGTAGCCGAAGGACCAGGAAAGGGGCATCGGTCACAAGACAGGAAATGTAAACAATAGCTGCTCTACTCCAGGCAAATGCCCCAGAAAATACTCCACCCGCACCCATGCCAGCAAAGGCCAAGTGAGGGGCTGAGACTCCACCCTCCTCAGGAGGGTGGACCAGACACCCTGTGGGCACCCAGAACTCCCACCCCTGCCAGCAGTAAAGAGGCCCCCCTTGGGGTGTCAGAGAAAGCCCAGGGAGAGCCTGACCTCCACTCCCCTCCTGGCAGCCCTGGGGCGGGATGGCCCTTTCCACTACCAGAGCAAGGTCAGAGGAGACCAGATAAAAGGTTTGATCAAGTCCAGAGTCTCGTAGCAGAAATACCCAAGATGTCCAGGTTTCAACTGACAACCGCTTGTCATACCCAGAAAAATCTCCATTGAATGAAAGGAGACAATAGACATCAATACTGAGATGACAGAAATGTTAGAATCACCTAAGATTTTAAGGCAGCCAACATACTAGTCAAAATGCTGCAAAGCACAATTAGGAACACACTTGAAACAAAGTGAAAAATAGATCTTGGCAAAGAAATAGAATATATAACAAAGAACCAAATGAAAAGTTAATAGTTAAATTAAAACAATGGATAGGCTCAACAGCAGCACAGAGGGAACACAGGGAAGAGCTGGTGCCCTGGAAGGCAGAGCAATAGGAACAATCCAGGCTGAGCCACAGAGAGAAAATGGACTGAAAAAGAACAAACTGTCCTTGGAGTCCAGAAAGGAGACGCGAAAAAGGGTGGGGCTGAAAGGTATCCAACGAGGCAGTGCCTGGGAACTTCTCCTGCATTGCTGATGGGCGTGTCAAATGGTACAGCCTCTCTGGGAAACAGTTCAGCTTTCTTGTAAAAAACTAAATACGCAGCTACCCTAGGGCCCAGCAGTGTTGCTCCCAGGCACCATTTTATCCCAGAGAAATAAAAACTATGTCCACCCAAAAACCTGTACACAAGTGTGCCTAGCAGCTTTGTGCATAATAGCCAATAACCGGAAACAGCCAGATGTCCTTCCACGGGTAAATGGTTAAACTCACTGGTCCATCCACACTATGGAATACTAGTCACCAGTGAAAAGGAATGAACTGTTGATGCACACAGCCACGTAGATGAATCTCCAGGAATAATTCTGAGGGGACGAAGTCAACCCCAATGGACTTTTGATTCCATTTATGTAACATTCTGGAGATGACAACATTGTAGAAATGGACACTAGATTAGTTGTTCCCAGGGGCGAAGGAGGGGTGGTGGGAGGGAAGCAGGTGTGACTATTAAAGGGGGATATAAAGGATCTTTGTGGTGATGGAAATGTGCTGTACCTTGGCTGTATCCATGTCAAAAAATCCCGTACTATAGTTATGCAAGATGTTACCACGGAAAGAAACTGGGTAGGGGATACAAAAGATCTCTCTGCCATATTCCCTACGACGGCGTGGGAAATCTATAATGACCTCACAATAAAAAGTTTAGAAAAATAAATGCATGTTCGTTTCAAAAGCCACTGTTAAACATTTTGGCGTGTATCCTTCCAGATTTTTCTATGCGTATAAATACTTGCCTTTAAAAAATATAGCCTTGTGCTGCACACATTACCGCACGTGCTTTCTTCCATCAACAAGACTGAACTCCTCCACCACGTTCTTAATTGCTCCGCACTGTTTTTTGCTACTACAAGCATGGCCGTCAGGAGCATCCTTGTACCTGCATCCCTATGCACGTCCTGGATTACTTCCTTTGTAAATTGCCGCCAGTGGAATTGACAGTGCAAGGCCCAGCGGTTTGCATGTCACATAGAGGCTTTTGTAACCAGCTGTCACATTTCCATCCGGAGCCATACGGATGTCTGCTTCCAATAAGTCCCCCTTACCCACGGTCTCCCCTTCCACAGTTTCAGTTACCCGGGGCCAACCTTGGTCTGAAAATATAAATGGAAAATTCCAGAAATAAACGAATCATACGTTTTAAGTTGCACACCATTCTGAGTAGCGTGATGAAATCTCGCACCATCCCACCACTCCGTCCCGCCCTGGACGTGAATCGCCGCTTTGTTCAGTGTCTCCACGCGTAGGTGCCCCCCACCACCACTGAGTCACTGAGTAGCCACCTCGGTTATCAGATCGACTGGCACGGTACCTCCGAGCTTGTGTTCAGGCGACCCTTATTTTACTTAACAATGGCCCCAAAGTGCAAGAGCCGTGCTGCTGGCCATTGGGATATGCCACAGAGAAGCCGGGAAGTGCTTCCCGTAAGTGAAAATGTTGCATGTAATGAGGGGAAAGCCACATAATGTATAGAGGGTTCAGGCAGCCCCTGGAGGTCTTGGCATATCTCCCCTGCGGATAAGGGGGGGACTACTGTACACAGTGTATTACAGGTTATCATTTGTGTGGAAACAAAATGAACACCATACACCTGTCCCTTACTTAACAACTAATTTTCCCTGAAAACCCTGCCACTTAGAGAAAGCTTTTTTAAAAAATGTTATCAAAAATATATATTTTAAATTCATTTTAATGGGAAAATGGTGTTTAACCCCAGCCCAAGGTACCCCTAAATTTTCACAGAGACAAAATTATCAGATGAACATTCCAGTTGAGTTTATATCAGTGATAATAATTTGAAAGAGAATAAATAGAATCCGTTCGTAAAATGCAATGCCGGGAAGGTCACTGAGGACGGGGTGGGCCTCGTTTTTTAGAAGGTAACGTCTTTCTGACTTTACAGCTTTTGAGAGACTCATGGTTATCTTGTTCTCCAGCAGCACTCACATGAAGCCATGGCACAGAATGAGACGGAGCACAGGGCTTCCGGGGACGGAAGATCCCTGTGCACAAGACTGAGAGATCACTGAAATGCACCCCCCACTCGCTTGCCTTCAATCCACAAATCAAAATATTTGGTTTGCCCCATGGCACACTCCTCAGATTTGTCCCCTACGGTACGCTCTGCTTAGGAAGTGTTGTGTCAAGTAAATCGGTGAGCCTGTCTCTGCATAAGACCATTATGCTAAATATCACTTCTGTGTTCGTCAGCTTGGGTTGCCATAACAATATACCACAGTCTGGGTGGCTAAACAACAGGGATTT